TAACATTGGAGAAAAGTGATTGCTTGCCTCCACCTGCGACACTACCTATACGTGCAACTTTCACTATGTAGTAGTGTAACCCCTCCACATAGTCTGAAAATTAGAGACAAGTCATAGAAATGTTATGGAAGCAAGAGCTGAGTCAACCTTGTGGGTGAGTCCAGGAGATGTGAGTACTGCATGTCCAAAGAAGCCAGGTCTTTTGTCCACCCTCTTCCACGTCTATGTCTGTTGGTGCTCTTAGCACAATCTCCCCTGACAATCAGAAAGATGGAATAATATACAGTGAAACCCTCCGAGAAAGGATTAAGGAACCTCTCTACAAGCTGCAGTTATATCAGCTTCAATAATGGAGCTTTACTGTATATTATATAATATAATTATATACCTCCAGGACGTTCAAACTGAGAGGTGGTGACTCCTGAGACACTCCAAACTTGTTAACCACTACGAAAGATACGGGAGACAGTGCGACAGGCAAACTCTTCCAGAGAGAGAGGCCTCGTCTGGAAAACCGTGAGTTCATGTGTGGCCATATGTACAGAGCAAGGAACTAAACCAGACAGGAAGCTCCGCGTGGTTAAATATAAGCACTTTGTCGTTATTTGGCAGTGTTCCAATGCCCTTGCATAAAGATGCTGTTTGGTGGGCATAGGGCAATGCATTTATTAGAAATGACAAGACCACAGGCTTCTACCCACACTGGCATTAACCTATAAGGCATCCAAGCACAATATTTTATGCTCTTCTGTTACCGTTTGAAAGTATCTGGTATAATTTGTGGTCTGGTCCACCACACGGTAGACAATTCCCACTGGTGCAGGGGTGTGTTCCTGGTCGTTAGGTGGTGGAGCAGATTCTGAGATGCTCAATATGACATCTCCCAGTAAGGTAGAGGACACTAACTGCGGTCCCTGGACAGGACTTGGTGGAGACCCTGAACAATAAAAACCATGCTCTATCCTAACTACAACACACACTGCAGGGGATCATCCGCGCTAGCACTACCCTTATATACAACACCTTTCTACAACACACTATGGAACCTCTGATAAGGGACCCTCTGAGATAGGTACGACCTCTCTACAAGAACACTTTTTCCCATGCTAATTTGTATTTTTTGACCTCCTAGATTGGAACGACGACCTCTCTACTAGGGACAAAAACCATTGGTCCCATAATGTCCCTTGTTAGGAGATTCCACTGTAGTCCAGTAGCATAGTGTGCAGTTTCACAAGCTACCTGCTGCATTGAAGGAGCGCACAATCCTCTCGTAGTTGTCACAACCTTGTCTGCAGACGGTTCCATTCTGCAGCACATAAAAATGGAACAATTTGTTATGAAGTTGATGATGTCATGTTGAACACTTACACAGTCAATTCTGCAGTACGGGTTGAAGTAGTGGTCATCAATATTTCTCTCCTCCCTACACTGCCCTTTTCTGTCAATACAGTTACAATAGATGTAGTGTTCATCGAGAATAACAAGCAAATCTTACACATTCATCCCTGCAGCCCCGACGGGTGAGCTGAGCTAAAGTTGGTTCCACTCTCACCAGACAACCTCTGACAAGCTCGGCAAACTACAGAGCAATACATGCATGTCAATTTTACTTAGTTAGGCACCAACACAGTATAACAGTCTGAGACCTTTTGGTAGGTCTTGCAGTTTGTCTTCTCATTCTCTGAGTTGAACTGTGGGAATGACTTGAACACCCACGTTCCTCCTCCAGCGGTTACATTCTCCAGCTGAACATCCTAACATAAGGCAGAGGCAGTATATAAGGTGAGCTAGACCCATTCCTGTAAACACCTTATTTATCTTCCTTGTTCAATGTGGGTACAAGCAGTTTTATTTTCAGTGAGTATAGTGTCTGGTGGTGCTTGGTACAAACAACAGCAGCAAGCCAGGGAGGGGATGGGGACTCAAAAGCAACATCTCTAAACTCCCTTTCAGCTTTAAGCAATTCACGGCTTCAAACTACCCTTGTAAGTAAGGGTAACACACTCACACACACATTATAGCCACACACACACCTGGTAGGGTTGGCTGTTAGTGATGCTATCCATGCAGAGGACACTGCACATGGAAGCAGTGTAGGCTGTGGAAGAGGTCAACTCATCTCCCTCGTCATCTTCTCTGTGAAGAACATCCACACACTCTGCCAGTTCACTCTCAGTTCCCACGTATCCCTCATCTCCCTCCTTCATGTCGTCACCACTGCCGCTGGCCCCAGATCCACTCTCTTCACCTCCACTGTAATGTCCCTCACCGTCATCCTTATAACCGCTATTGAACAAAGATCCATAATACGTAGCTATTGCAATTACACACATAGAAGTTAGCTACCTCTGCCCCTGGATTCTGCCGGCGTAGAGAAATATGCAGCATATGAGCACAAAAGAGATGAACCGAGTGGAGCCATGGCGACCGGCCGCTGCGCAACTATAGCACCGGTGCCGAAGCGATTGCAAAAATCTGCAAAGTAGCGCTGGAGGGGGGGAGGCAAGTTAATGGGATCGTCTCAGACTCTAGATTGCGCATGTGTGTTTGTTTTACGACCTATATAAGTATGCTCACAACGGAAGCACCTGCCGCGCGTATATACAGTCAAGACATACAGAAATGTGTGCACGGTTCCAATCTGTCGCATTTTTCTGCATCAACTGAAGAAGTTTCGAAAGTGTGACTAAGAACGGCTGTGCGTCCGGTCGACCCGAGACCTGTGTATACGGGTAGCCGGTGTTTCATAGGCAAGGACGAAACATCAGCTGGGAAAGTTGACTTTAATAACTGGAACTAACACGGTAACACTGCTAAGATGCATGCAGACGTAGGATTTCTTGGTGTCGCAATCGCCGGTTTATTAAAACCCTCGGCGCGCATGCGCAGCGAGGGTTACTGTAGTCGTTCTGTCTCTGTGTGTGTGTGTGTGTGTGTGTGTGTGTGTGTGTCGACGCTTATTCTCGCACTACAGGCTACGAGGTGGCCCATTAGCGATACCAACGGCTTCAGAACTACGCGAGCCTGAAAAACGAAAGGGCGAATTTCCTGAAACGACTGCGTTCGAGAGATATGCCGTGAAAACAAGCGAAAACGCCAATATGCATAATAGCACTTGGCTTACCACGACCTGATCCCCTCACTCTGTGTACCTTGGGGGCTCAGGAAGTCACAACGAATGGCATGTCATGCTATCTACTACTGTAGCTAGCCCGTGTCAGACTCTCCGCTGGCTACTAGCGCGAGACCGCGAGTACAAATAGCCTAGCCCATCAATTAGCAGTATCGCGCATGCGCAGTTCGCCGGGGTTTTGCATTTTTTCAGAGGCGATTTTCGTAAGTGCCGCGTTCAGAGTGAAAACCAAGTGAACAAGCCAATATGCTAATTAGCACTGGCTTACCCCGACCTGATCCGCTTGCTTTGTGTACCTCGGAGGCGCAATAAGCCACAACGAAGGACGTGTATCGACTCCCGCATGCTATCTACTACCGTAGCTAGCCCGTGTCAGACTTCTCCGCGAGCTACTAGCGGGAGATCACGAGTAAACGTTAACCGCGGAAATTCTATTTTATTATAACTGTCTGATTAATTAGTTATAATACCGTACATTCATTCAGAAGTGTTCAGAATGTTCAGAGGCATTCTGCTAATTTCACTGATTTTTGCCAAGATTGTTCAATAGTGCAGAAACTGTTCAGCCAAATCACCTCAATTTTAACAATTCCTTGAAATTGAAAAAAAAGACAAATTTAAGACAAACAACAATAAATCAAGAAAGAGATACAGAATTTGTTCCTGTTTTTTCTACAGGAAAGTGTTCCGTTACAATGACTTTTCCATGGATGTACAGCATGTTGTCTTCTTCAACTGCAACTATATTTCTTTCTGCTTTTATGGCAGGTATCACGCAAGAGCCTAAGGGGAAAAGGCAGAATTATGTAAAGAAGGTCTGATAAACTCTAAATTAAGTTAGGTGTATGAACGGTATTATAACTAATTAATCAGACAGTTATAATAAGCTGCTGGGGTCTCTTCGTCTCCTGTCCAGGACGAGTATTCTCAGTGAAAGTAGGTTTTTGTATAGAACTGATAACTACGAGTTCCTCCAGGATCACTGTTTTGGACGGACATCCCTCGCAGGAGACATGGCCTTCTCTGCAAGAAAACGCTCTAGGCGCGAGTAGCCATGTGCGGCTGGCGGATGTACGTGATGGGCTGGTTTCCCATGGCCTGAACGTCTCCTATGTTGCAGTAGATCACCTCCTTGAACTGGTAGCTACCCACCCCTGCATGCAAGCTCTTTACATTTGCTGAAAATCGCCCTTTGTGCTTTTGTTGCTCTCATCATGGAAAAATTGCTGGAGATTTATACTACTTTCTCTGTCTAGCACTCATAGAAGTCTATTATTGTGTCTTTTCTTATACAGCAGCTTATTCAGTTTTATGTTAGCATCTGAACCAATAAAATGCAGATATGAAATTCACACATAACCTATACATAGTTATTTTCTGGGTGACCAGAGAGAGAGTCAATGCAGTGTCATTGGAGCGATTTTATAAGTGCAAAGATCATTGTTCAAAGGAAGTGAATGTGTGAAGCACCAAAAAGGACTGAAGAAGGAGTGGTTCACAGCTTACGTGCATGCTGACACCATTCCTACATATATTGTTATTATTACTAGTCTGCGCCACAAAAATAATAGTGATGGCATCTTGCAGTTGTGTGCGCCTATCCTGTGGGCCCATCCCTTGTTAACCCTCAGCGCGTATGCGCAGCGAGGGTACTGTAGTCGTTCTGTGTGTCTGTCTGTCTGTTACACTACATCTCACTTCTCCAGTGTTCTTTCGTCTCACAAACGATACTACATAATTAACGGGCAATGAAGATCAGAATTTTGTGCGGTTTTCTCTGAAAATGCTCCGTTGCAAAGCTAGAGCGCTTCCAGCATTGTATGGCTAATGCCGGTAGTCGCCATTTTATCGCTGCCGGATAATGCGCATGCGCTTATATTTAGCAAGGCTTACCTCCACCGGGTCCGCTTGCTCTGTCTATCTTGAAGGCACAAGAAGTCACAACGAATGGCGTGTATCGACTCTCGCGTGCTATCTTACTGTAGCTAGCCCGTGTCAGACACTCTGCGAGCTACTTCGCCGAGGGTTTGCACTTTAGTGCTGTCATTACCCTCGGCGCGCATGCGCAGCGAGGGTACTGTAGTTGTAGTCTGTCTGTTACTCTCAATCTCACTTCTCGAGTGTCTGTTCGTCTCACAAAGGATAGGCCTACCTAACGGGCAATGAAGGTCAGAAATTTCGAACAGTTTTCTCTGAAGATGCTCCGTTGCAGAGCTAGAGCGCTTCCGCCATTGTACGGCTGATGCGTAGTCGGCCATTTTTATCGCTGATGAAAATGCGCATGCGCTTATATGGGGTCCGCTTGCTCTGTGTATCTTGAAGGCACGAGAAGTCACAACGAAGGGCGTGTATCGACTCCACATGCTATCTACTACTGTAGCTAGCCCGTGTCAGCGGGAGACCACGAGTATACAACATACTAATAGCAGCCAGCCCATCAATAGCGGTACCGCGCATGCCCAGTTCGCCGAGGGTTTGCCATTGGGTCTGTCTGTCTGTTTGTCTGTACTCTATATCTCACTCCTCGAACGTTTGTTCGTCCCACAAACGATGCCATCTACCCAACGGGCGACGAAGGTCAGAAAGTTTGTGGGGTTTCTCTGAAAATGCTCGTTGCAGAGCTACAGCGCGAAAAGCCAATATGCAAATACGCAACGGACGGGATGGCTTACCGCGGTCTGATCGATCCGCGTGCTCTGTGACCTCGGAGGCACCAGAAGATGCAACGCAGGGCGTGTGTATCGGCTCTCGCATGCTGTCTAGTAGTGTAGTTAGCCCGCGTCAGACTCTGCGCGAGATGGCTAGAGACCTGGAGTAACAGCCAGAACCATCAATTAGTAATACAGCGCATGCGTTTACTGACGCGTGCGCGTCACAATGCGCCGAGGGTTTTGCACTTCAGTGCTTTTTATTACCCTCGGCGCGCATGCGCAGCGAGGTACTGTAGTTGGGTTTGTCTGTCTGTCTGTTACTCTCAATCTCACTTCTCGAATATCTGTTCGTCTCGCAACGATATGACTACCTAACGGGCAATGAAGGTCAGAAATGTGGAACGGTTTTCTCTGAAAATGCTTCGTTGCAAAGCTAGAGCGCTTCCGCCATTGAACGGCTAATGCTAGTCGGCCATTTTTATCGCTGCGGAAAATGCGCATGCGCTTATATTTTCAACAGGCTCAGGTCCGCTTGCTCTGTGTATCTTGAAGGCACGAGAAGTCACAACTAATGGCGTGTATCGACTCCCACATGCTATCTACTAGCCCGTGTCAGACGCTACTAGCGGGAGACCATGAGTATACTACATACTAATAGCAGCCCAGCCCATCAATTAGCGGTGCCCAGTTCGCCGAGGGTTTGCACTTTAGTGCTTTTCATTGGGTTGTCTGTGTGTGTGTCTGTCTGTTACTCTACATCTCACTTCTCGAGTGTTTGTTCGTCTCACAAAGGATACGACCTACTTAACGGGCAATGAAGGTCCGAAATTTTGTACGGTTTTCTCTGAAACGGTTCCGTTGCAAAGCTAGAGCGCGAAAAAGCCAATATGCAGGGATGGCTTACCACAGTCTGGTCGATCCGCGTGCTCTGCGTACCTCAGAGGCACCAGAAGATGCAACGCAGGGCGTGTATCGCATCTCGCGTGCTATCTAATAGTGTAGTTAGCCCTCGTCAGACTCTGCGCGAGCTGGCAGAGATCACGAGTAACAGCTAGGACTAAACCCAGCCCATCAATTAGTGGTATGGCGCATGCGTTTACTACGCGTGCGCGTCACAGTGCGCCGAGGGTTTACACTTCAAGTGCTTTTGCTTCACACCATCTTTATCCCTTGCACTTGTTTTTGCTTCGCTAGACATTAATAGGTGGTTACTATTTTTGACAATTAATGTCCTCCATCCTCCCTTGGTTCCTCCGACCCCACCAGACTCTCTGGTGTCCTTAAACTCCATCGACCCCCAGAATCCCTTGACTCCCTTGACTCCCCTGACTCCCTAGACTCCCCTAACTCCACAGACTCCCCTAACTCCAGAGAAACATGATGCCGGAGACTCCCACTCCCTAGACTCCCATCCCTGACTCCCTCTACTCCCATGACTCCCAATATAGACTCCCCTTGACTCCCCAGACTCCCTAGACTCCCAATAAAGACTCCCCTGACTCCCTCTACTCCCATGACTCCCAATATAGACTCCCCTGACTCCCCAGACTCCTTAGACTCCCAAGAAAGATAGCAGCTAAACATACTATTATAGCAGTTTATTACGGTTACTCTCCAGCCTTGCTACCAAATCGTTCCATAATAATATTTGACCACCGCTGAGAATCTGAGTTCACTGCAAAATGATTGTGATGTTGAATAACAGATTATTACACAAACTTTCATAGACCAAGTAGCTAACTGTCGCCCTTGCTGTGCATGACATGGCTAATACAAAACTGTCACTGTAAACTCTACGTAAACTCTAACTAGCTGGCTATAAGTCTTGACCCTTCAACAACAAAGTTCTTATTATTTATTGTAGTACATTTCCACCAACTTCTCCATTACTGCAGCAGCAATCTCCTTCAAATTGGGGCCATCAAGCTCTTGCTCTCTAGCAGCCATAAGTTGACATTCGTCACCTATGTCATTGCTGTCACTATCTTTTTGACCAGGATTTATAACCTTTGGGCAATTGTCACAGTCATCACGTATGAAGTCACCGTCCCAGTCCAGACGACGACTCCGGCTTTCCAGAAGGCATTCACAGTTGGTGTCTACTGTGTCACGTAAGCACGCTTTTTTGCCGTCTATTCTTGTACACTCATGATAACCCTCAGGGCAGGCTGAGTAAAAATAGCATGATAGTAAGGGATATTGAAGGTCATGTATGAAGGCATAGGTATATGTAAGTACTACAGACTGCACTGGTTAAACTCTCAAGCTTAAAAACCTTCTTAACCTATACAGTTTAACTTAAGCAGCTAATACACGTGAAACAATAGGGAATGACAGAGTCACAATTATCTGTGAACTACTTCTATTCTCTTTCTGCTTCACCTTACTGACACAAACTAAAACCCAGAATTTTACTACTAGTTGATTGTGTAATAAATAGCTAGAGTGGATTCAGTGGCACCTACAATGCAGCTTGTGTACAAATACAGGACTAGAATTGTTGATCAAAAGCCGCAAGTGCTTATCATGCCTTACTCTGTAACAAAACAATTAATACTTAGTGATGTGACTTTCTTACGGCATTCTGGAAGATCAGTGCACTCCACTTCCACCGGTTCAATCACAGGGCATTCCTCTCCTCCATTTTCTGCTAGCTCTAGTGACGAATGGAGTGCAGGTCTCTGGTTGCAGAGCACAAGATGGTGAGCAGGAGCTGCAATCTCTGTATTCCACTCACAGTCAACTGCAAAAACATGTAAAACAAATTGTGTGAAATCTGTACAGGTGACCTAGAAATTTAGTTGGAGGCACGGAAGGAACATGGTTTTGCTATGTATTAATTTGCCCTCATCATTAAAGTGGCATGCATTGGCATAGATATCGAAATAGACTTCAGATTTTACCAGGGCAAGGTTTAGGATGGGTGACTCCAGTAGTCGTGACTGTCTATTGCGAACAAAATCAGGGCAATTCTCTTCCTGCGTGCTGTGGTTGTTGCGTAATGATTGGTTGACAGAAGTGATTCCCTTTACCCACAGGTGATCCGAGCAAACTGTCACATTCTCCATACTCCCATTCGCAGTCACTGCAGAGTGGACAAAGGATATGGTGTCTGATGCTTTTCATAGAGCCGTAACACCATTTAATTAAATAAAGTCAGCATATCTAGGATTTTGAAGGGGGTTCTACTATCCACATGTTTTTTTACTGCTCTCGTGTTCGCGCGCATGAGGCAGGTGACGCATGCGAGCAAAATGATATATATAGGGGTTCCATGTACAAAGAACCCCCTGGATCTGCCACTGAAAGTGAATGGTAGCAGCCCCATTATTATACATTATAATATACCAGGTTGGCAAGGTATCGAGCGTCGGTGCTACTCTAACAGTTTTGACTGTCGTGCGAACGACGAAACAGGACAATCCCTTCTCCATGCGTGCGGTTCCTGTGTGATGATTGGTGTACCACCGTCGTGTCCACTGCACAGGATGCCGAGCACACTCTGCCACACCTTCCATACTCCCATTCACAGTCAAGCTACAGAGTGAACAAGATAATGCACAGCAGCAGGTGTTTGGACATCCAAGTCTTAGTTCATTAGGCACCTTGGTTTAAGCTAGCTAAATGGAGCATAATTATATTATTATCATAGCTACCAGGTGGGCAAGGTCCAAGATCCGCTGCACTCAAGTGTAGTATGTGACTCTTCATGCGAACACAAAATCAGGGCATCATCTCTTACCTCCGTGATGTGGTTTCTGTCTGATGACTGGTGGACACAGTTTTGTCCCACTTCCACAGTTTACGAACACCTCTCACACCTTCCATACTCCCATTCACAGTCAACTGTATGTAGACATGCAGGGTATTTTGTATCTTGTTTTAATTATTGGGCGAGCGGACAGGGGCCGAGCCTCCTAGGTGTGTCTTCGGACGAATTTTCGATCGACGCACCGTCGTCCGTCTTAGTGCGCATGCGTTATATGACGCGCTTCTTATCACTCGTGCGGAAAACTTTCTCCATCCATCTCTTACAGCCCGTCCAGTTGGCTACGAGGAGAAGCACTAGATTCATCCGCGAGTAGGATAGTGTTCTTCGTCGAAGAAAAAGAGCAGCGAATCTCCGGGTTGTATTCTCGCGATATGCAGTACTGTACGTCGTCAATTAGCTCCACGCTTAGGAATGTCAAGTTAGTAACCAAAAGGAGGTAACACTTCCGTACATTCTAGAGTCTAGCTGCGACGCCCAGTGCGCGCAGATTCGTAGGGAAGTCTGCTCATCGTCAGTCAGTAGAGCGTGCGACACGCACGAGCTGGCCTCAAGTCGACTGTTACGCAATGGCATGACAGGCGCGAGGCATCATAGCGAGTGCGCATTCTAGTCGATATACGTACTTGAGTGCTCGCATCCGCTCGCCAACAAGAATGCCAAGACATCCACTAGTAGATGGTATAATTAACCATGGCGGCGCGCATGCGCCGCGAGGGTACAGTAGTCGTCCTGTCTGTCCGTCTGTCTGCTGCGTCCGCGAGAGTTCTAGACACACAGCTATGAGGCGGCCACATGAGTGGCACCAACGGGTTGCTGAACGACGAGAAGATTAGTAATAATAATGTGGCGATTTTCCGAAACGACTGCGAGATGATCATGAAGCGTGAAAACAGCGAAAAGCTTAACGGCGAGCGATTCATCGCTCACGACGCGTATAGTAGGGTGGATCGTTTTGCGGAGCTCAGAGGAGAGAGCGATCCATTCGGAACGCGTTTGCAGGTGCATGAACATAGCTAGATTCGCGTGGTTATTACCCTCGGCGGCGTGTGCGCAGTAGTCTTAGCGTGCGCCGTCATAGTGCGCGAGGGTTTGCTCTTCAGTGCTTTTATTATGTAATTGCTTTGCATCACAACTCAGAGCATTCCATGCCTAACAATTTCGGCTTTGGCTGTACTCTTACAGAGAGTTGGATCTACTGAGTGAGCCAAATTGCATATTAATAATATGAAGGGAATGTGATAGTATCATGGGCTAAAGTAATTACAACTTAATTCTTTCACTGTGTCCCTATTGTTTTGTTCCATTTCTAAATTTAGCCCTTATAATTACACTGCCACATTCCTTTAACAGTGCTGACTGTGTAACCGTATTATAGGTACCACCATGTTAGCAATTGAACGGTTGTGGCCACGCCACATGACTTGTGCTAATAACTGAGGATCGAAGGAGCTTTCTGACATGATACGTAATGTACTTGCAAAACCACTGACTAGCAAAGCTTGCCAAGAGCACGTTGCGTAGCTATGGCACTACTATGATGAAAAGCACTAAAGTGTAATCCCTCGGCGAACTGCGCATGCGCGATACCGCAAATTGATGGGCTGGGCTATTAGTATGGTAGATCGCAGAGAGTCTGACACGGGCTAGCTGCAGTATATAGTAGATAGCAGCAAGTCGATACACGCCCTTCGTTGTGATTTCTTGTGCCCCCAAAATACACAAAAAAAGCGGACCCGGTCCAGGTAAGGCTGTAAAGGCTTACTAATAAGGCCACTCCAAGTTGCATTCCGGTTTCTTTTCAAGTCGAGATGCGGGCGGGCGGGTTTATGATAATTAATATGACCACAAAAATTAATATTGGGAAGAGTGTCAAAACGGGACAAGTGCAAAGCCATTAGTACACACAAGCACAGCATGCGTAGTGAATAAGGACCAAAACAGCGCTCTCTTGAAATGGGGTGCGGGCGGCGGACGAGAAACCGGTATACAACTTGGAGTGGCCCAAATTAGCATATTGGCACTTGGTATACGCCATACTTGAACGCAGTAGTTTTATGAAAATCGCCTTTTTGAAATCAAGCCAGTGTAGCACTGAACCCATTACTATCGCTCTTTGGCCGGTTTCTTGCGCGTGATGGCAGAAAACGTGGTAACAGACAGACAGACAGACACTCACGTACCGAGTACTGGTAACCCTCGCTGCGCATGCGCGCCGATGGTTAATTGTCAGTATAGGTTATACCAGGGCAGGGAGTGAGGTTACATGTCTCAAACTCCAGCAGTGGGACTCCTGAACAATCCCCCACGTTTGGAACATTCTCGGGTACGATGCAGGTCCTGCTTCTTGCTCTCTGTCCTTGGCCACATGTTTCACTGCACTTTGTCCATTCGGACCACTCTGTAACTCTCGGCACATCTACATCTACACCTCCTGTTGGCCGGATACAGAAATTTGCTCACTCAATTACTCCAAGTCAATGCCTAACTTACTGCATTGGGGGCAGCATTTTCCTGGCAAAAACACTTTTTGTGTCTGACTTGCACAAGGTTGGTCATCAGCACAAGTGATCGTCTGCGTCACCACATTTCTACTAGCGGTCTGTAAAAGAATAGGTCATTGGTTTTGTTCCTGTATGCAATTAGCTATTCATCTTACGTCGCAAATGTATTCTTTGCACGGGTTGGTCTTGTCAAAATATTGGTATTCGAAGAAATGCGTCGTTCCGGCGATTTCCACGTAGCAGCCCTTGCCGCAGACACCTGCTGTCGTGGATGTTCCCCCCATCAGTTCAGCCCACATTTCTCTTAGAGACGGTGCCACTCCGAGGGTGTTGCCATGGGTTCCTGCAAAGGCAAAATAACAACATGTCTAGTCACAATGATCATGAGCTGCCAGTTGGTCTAGTGGGTGGGAATAGAACCCCCAAGCTATACTTTGCAGACAGGCGAGCGGGTTTTTAGTATGCCGATGCGCTGTTGCATGCTATTCACCTCGCACCACAAGGAGAACGATAACGATCAGACAAACTTTGTGCATTGCCGACATCCTGCTTGTAGCTAACGGGATGATCTTGCAATCCAGTTTATCTGTCTGCCCCCCAGCAATGTAACGCTCTTTATACCTAATGGTTGTTTCCGAAGCGTGCTCTTTTCCCGTAAACCTGGCTTTCCCCGTTTCCCTACACTCGTGCAGCGTGCGTGGGCGCTTGGTGGCTCCATCGTCTTACCATCCTTACTGACTTCCGGGAACACGGCGCGCACGTAGCAGGATATGGGGGAATCCCGTCTCAGCGTCCGGATTCTATGCGCGCGATTGAAACAGACACGGCCAAGGCTGCGTCCCTACAGATGCACAAGGCCCCTCTCTGTATATAGCGTAGCAATAGCCTCGGAGCCCTAGGCTTCCCCGTTAACGTGGCATTAACATGGAAATACTCCCGAATAAGTGGCCTTGTGCATCTGTAGGGACGCAGCTAGCGTTCGAGCTATCCTCTGAACGTGCTGCCGCTGTGCAGACCGTTATCCTACGCGAAGTATAGAGTTGTATAACTAGCATTACCATAATATTATACGGGGAAGATAGTACGGAAATTGACTCTAAAAACCTTCTTGGTATAGCTATTATAATGATTAGAAGCACCACAAGTATAATTCTCTGTGGAATGAATATTCACAATACAGGTCTTCCGGTTCACGGAATGCCTGGTATAGCTATATATGATTAGAAGCACCACAAGTATAATTCTCTGTGGAATGAATATTCACAATACAGGTCTTCCGGTTCACGGAATGCCTGATAGTGGGGAATTCACAGATATTCAGGTGTGTATAGTGCTGCAGCAATCGACATAAGCCATGCATGCCCATTTGCATATATTGGCTTTTTTCACTTGTGTTTAACGCTATATTCAAAATCACCATTTTAATATCCATGTCCTCGTTGCTCCAAAGCCGTTGGTCATTGGTTGCCTCGCAGCAGTAGTGCCAGAATAGTAGACACACCAAACCCTAAGATGTAATCCTCACTGCGTATGCGGGCCGAGGGTATAAACGTCCATTAACTAATGCCGAGTTAGCTAACGTATTATTGTATAGTGACTAGCTACATAAGAAAATTCTATGTTCGGTAGAGACATATCCAAATCATTACAACATCTGATATGTACAATGTCATACAATAGTGTGAATAAAAACAGAGGGAAATCGAGGCAGAGTCAGTATTAGGATATGTCTACTCTGTTAGAGCCCTGTACTTCCTGATCATAATTATTGGTTGAGAGCTTCCAAAGCCTCCAATCTAAACAGTGTGTGTGTGTGATGTTTGAGTAGGGGAAGAAAGAGAAAGAAGAGTGCTAGGGATTGAGATGGCTTTTGTCCGTGGTCACATGCATTAGTACATGTGAGATCAAGAGTCTATTTCTGCTGTGAGTGTAAAGTCTGCATGTAACCAGCCATCAGGGGAGCTCCTCACTGGATCATAGCAGAGGTAACAGGTTTCGGTCCCTTTAATCTCCCGACCTGTGCCCCGCTCCCATGTTTAGTTTGTATTTGTCTTGTATGATCAGTCCATGTATAATACTCATTTCTCTACTGCTGCAGATTTCATGGTCAGATTACACAGGATGTACTAAGTATACCTGTGGTACCTGTGGTATCCAGCTATCCACTCCAGCCCTTGCTGGTACTACACATGGTTGATTTCACAGAGGTCATTTATTTGTTTACGGAACAGTGTGTTATTTTTTAGATCAAACTACTGTAGTTGGCTGAGTAGGTTGGACTTGTGTATACCCTGTGTATAGTTGCTTAACCAGAGGCGTAGGAAGCGGGGGGGGGGGGCACTTGCCCCCACAGAAATTTAAAAGGGAGGGCATTGCCCCCACCCCCACCTGAGCCGACTTTGTAGACTAAACTAACACACATTCTAGCACGTATTCTTTGTTCATTAAAAATACACACACAGTAGATCTGTGTCTGCCCCCACACTCAAAATCATCTTGCTACGCCTATGTTAACTGGTTTCCACGTGTGTGTGTGTCTTCCGGTTCACTGAATGCCTGATAGTGGGGAATTCACAGATGTTCAGGGGTGTATAGTACGTGTATAGTACGTGTATAGGTTATACGATGGCGGCGCGTGGTCTACCGTTTGTACACAGTGGCCAGTTTTGATAGGGCACGAGGGCGTATATAGCCCGAGTGGTCTATCAAAACTGAAGCCACGAGTGTGCAATCAGTAGACCACAAGCGAATGCCATCGTATAACGTGTTTGTGTGATGACATCCGGCGGTAAGGCTCTGACCAATGAGATTACGCAAAAGCTTTCAAAACGTCCTCTTTTTAACGCACACCATCGCGTGTACTTACGAATATTATACGTACGAGGGGACGCGGGGAGAGATCTAGCTAGCAATCGATCGGGAGAGAGACAGCTGCAATAAGCGCTTTAGTTACGAAACTGCGCATGCCTTCACCAGCCCCACCCACCATTTTTCTGCAACGTACGTGGCGGCCATCTTTTACTCGCACAACATTCCCAACATTCCACACGGACAATGACAGTCGAAAATCTAAGTATTTGCCTCGGTTGACGGCCTGCTCCGACGTCTCACCCCCTGCTCCGGTGTGCGACTCTCCCTGGACTTTTGCCTGGCTCAGGCTTGACCCAGAAACAGCAATAGCCCTTGCGAATTACTCTACTGGCCACGCCTACCCCGTGCGAGTGAGGTGCCGTTCTATAATGTGTGCGCATGACTTCCGGTGCCACTCCCATACACACGTAACTTCCGATGCCACGCCCACTCATTTCCATGCGCTAAATCCGAGGTGCCGTTCTTGCCAAATGATCCCTTTAGTTTAGTCAAGCTGGGCGGTTGTGCAGAAGCCATGGTCATTTCTCGAGAGATCAACGTTACAGGTATATACGTACTTTTCGCTGCTAGACTCCACACGAGTTTTGTAGCTGCCGCTCTGGCTCGCTTTCTCTCCCGCTATACCCAGCATTCTCGAATGCAGCCTGTTGCAGTAGCAAGAAAGCTGAAAGGCACCAGTCTACGGGAGCCTACGCGTCTGAAAGCAGCTTTCGCTAGTTTTCAGACCGCGTATATACTAGAGCAGTTTCTGGCCATTCTAGCCTGAAAACACTCCCTTCTGGTAAAGAAACAGCAGTACACAAAGAGTGTAAAAGCCCCTAATTGCATTCCACGCTGCCAATTTCCTACTATCGTCTAGACCCACTGTGGTTTATGCAAATAAGTTGACATACAGCTAAAGTATGGGGAAATTGTATGGCCTCTTTATGTTCTATCTACCCTTAGACTACGGTAACACGCAATTGACCAATCAGATTGCGAGTTTAGCGGTTACTATTTTTGTCAGTGACCTCTTCCGCGGTAACTATTCGTAGCCCCGGCAACCACGCCTTCAATTCGAAAAGACGCCACGCGCGCGGACGGTGAACCGAGCTTCTGGAGCGGTTCTTCCCACGAAGACACCAGGAACAGGCTCTTCTAGCAGCAGCGCATGACTACTAGAGAGCTAGGAAGACGCTAGAGAAAGCGTACAGGGAAAAACGCGCACAAACGGCCGGCCTGCGCGATCCCGAAGGGCAGCAACGCCTACAACGGACACTGCAGCGGGACGGACTTGCGCTGTAGTCTAAGCCGGTTAGACGCGTCGCCTTGGGAAACTACACGATTTAGTGAGCCTCGGAGCCCTTAGTAGCGCCCTCGCTGCGCTCGGGACGCCGACAGCTCAGGGCTCCTCGGCTCACTAAATCGCGTAGTTCCCGCGGCTCAGCGTCTAACCTATACGTAGACTGAGCAGGAAGCGCTCACTACGCATCTACGTTGTTTGGACTGGCTGGAATACCTTTGATCTAAACAAATAAGTATCATACCAGATCTGATGGCTTTCAAGAATATTATTTGCCGAGTGAGTACAATCACAGAGACACTGACTTATATGCATTTGAGGTGATTCTTCTAGAACGTTCTAGAGACACAGAGATACAAGTGTAATGTACAAAGGCACAATAGTGATTGCATAACAATGAGTAGAGTGTTCCAAGTTACGTAACAGTCTGGATTGGCGAGAGTGCACATTTACACCTACACTCCTTCTCACTCTTCCCAATCCCAATTCGCTAACCCCAGCCAGCTGCAGTCTACTGAGTTTCTCGAATTGTCTGATAGAGAGACCGTTAGTGAGCATGTCAGCGATCATGTGTTTGGTGCGTCCATGAATGCACTGGTTCTTGGCAAGACATATGGCAGACTGGTTGTCCTCGAGGATCGTTGTCTTTGGATGCCCTCGTTTAACAGGTCTCCCATAAGTTGCTGAAGCCAAATAGCTTCTTGGGCTGCAGCGGCCAGTTCAACATACTCTGCCTCGGCAGTGGATAGAGCCACACAGGTCTGTTTTCTGATCTTCCAGCTGATAGCAGCACCTCCCAGATGGAACACGTATACCCAGAGGTTGATTTTCTGTCTCCAACATCGCCAGCCCAGTCTGCATCCAAATATCCAGTGATTGCAACTGGAGTATCTTCTCTATAGATGAGCCCAAAATTTGTTCGTGCCTTTCAAATTCTTTTCGCTCCAGTCCAGTGCTCTTTGCTGGGTTTGGCACAGAACCTAGCAACACAGCTCACTGCGTATAGGCAATGTCTGGTCTTGTTTTGGTAGACAGATACAGCTGGCTGCCAACGACCGATTGATAGAGCTGCTGGTTATGCACGTCATTCGGCTTCTCGCAAGTAACAAGCTTGACATCGGGATTGACAGGTGTGCTGATAGGTTTGGAGTCTTGCATCCCATATCTTTGTAGGATCCTCTCTGTGGTGGTTGTCCAACCCATATCGCTCCACTTTCTCGATTTTGAATGACTTTTACTCCTAGGAAATATATAGTGGAGTTGTCCTAGATCTTTCATCTCGAACTTATGACTCAGCTCCTTCTTCACTGCACTCATTTTGACATCACTCTTCCCTCCGAGGATTATGTCGTCTACATAGACGGCGACGAGGAACATTTCGCCTTCTGAATCGAGATGAACGTAGAGGCAAAGGTCTCCGGATGTCTGCTTTAATCCTATTTCCTTCAGTCTGTTGTCCAATGCATGATTCCAACAACGTGGTGATTGTTTCAGACAGTATATGCTACGTTTGAGTTAACATACCAGATGTTTCTTCCCTTGCTCAATGAACCCTTCGGGTTGTTTCATGTACAGTTCTTTGGTTAGTTCTCCATGGAGGGAGGCGGTGGATACGTTCATCTGGTGTAGCTGCAACTTGTGTTGGGCCCCCAAGGCTATAGCAGATCTGATGGATTCGAAGCGAACAACGGGACTGAAGGTCTCTTCGTAATCGAGACCGAACCTCTGAGTGCAGCCTTGAGCAACCAGTCGGGCCTTGTATCTCTCCACTTCTCCATCTGCATCGACTTTTCTCTTGAAAACGCATTTGCTGCCAATGATCCTTCGATTTGGTGGCGGCACTACCAACTCCCAGATTTCATTCCATTGAAGAGATGCCATTTCTTTTCCCGTGGCCTTTCTCCACTTGTGTTTGTCAGGACTTGAATTTACTTCGTCTACTGAGGTTGGGTCTGGCCGTTCAGTCGAAAGCAGTGTAAGGTTGAGGCTGTACCAGTCAGGTGTTTGTCAGTTTCTGGTTGACCTCCGTAGATTTGGTGTCTGATTTGACGGCACGTCGGTCGAGGCTGACTCTTCACCTGATGGTTCATCCACAGGTATCTCTTCAGGCACACTGCTTGTAGTATTTGGAGTCACCGATTCCTTGGCAACAGGCTTCTCTTCGACCTCGAGCTCCACTTATTTTGGAGGGAGTTCCTTCTCCTTCTGAACCCCGGGCATAGAGGTTTCATCGAAGACAACATCTCTTCTGTAGATCACTTTCATCCGTCTAAGATCATATAGGCAATAGTTAGTAATATACCCCAACGCTAAGCACTTCCTTGTCTTGGCAAGTTTGTGTCTTTTAGCTTTAGGCACATGAGCGTTTGTACAGCATCTGAATATGCGAAGCGAACATACATCTGGCTTGGTACCACTCCATGCTTCGTGAGGCGTGACTCCTTCTAGTGCCTTGGTGGGACTCCGCTTCCGGAGATACACAATTGTTGACAAGGCCTCTGCCCTAAATCTGTGAGGGAGCTTGGAGTCAGCTAGCATGGTTCGTACACCTTCGATCAGTGTACGGTTGAGTCGCTCGGCGACCCCATTTTGTTCTGGAGTATGGGGTGTTGTCAGCTCATGTTGCTTTGGTCAAGTATGACTCGAATTCGTTCGAGGTATACTCACCTCCATTGTCAGAGCGAAGAGCCTTGATTTGTCTTCCACTCAACTTCTCGACCTGGGCTTTCCGCTCTTGGAATCGCCGAAATACCTCGTGTTTGTGCTTGAGGATATAGACCCACACATGTCGGGTGTGATCATCAATGAATGTGACGAAGTATTCTCCTCCACCGACTGATTGGGTTCATCTTCCCCCACACATCACTGTGTATCAGCTCGAGTGGATGATCTGCCCTTTTCCCACTGGAATGTTGGAATGGCAACCTGTGACTTTTCCCCTCCACACAGGACTCACAGAAGCCAGTCTCCTGTTCCCATTCGAGATTCATTCCACTGACCATTTTGTTTCTTGTCAGGGACTTGCATTCCTTGAGTTCCCAAATGACCAAACCGTCGATGCCAAATCGTTTCCTTGGAGCTTTTGTGATCGGAGCTTGGACAAGCTTGGTGACCGGGGGACCTCCTTGGTCAAGGTAGTAGAGACTTCCTTCTCTGAATCCAGAGGCTATGAGCTTGGACTTGGAGTCTCTGATTTCACATCTCATCTTGGTGAAAATGGTTACCTTGCCTTTCTTGGCAGCAGAGGTTATGCTGTAGTTGTACGCTAGATCTGGTACCAGGAGAACGTCGTAAAGGGTGCAGGTCTTTTTTCCCTTCGGTAAGTTCATTGTTAGCATCACATTCCCACGTCCTACTGCCTGAAGATTTCGACCGTCACCAAGCATCACAGTCATTGGAGTGGGTAGAGTTTGTAGAGCGGTGAACATTGACTCCTTGTTGCACATGTGGCAAGTCGCTCCAGAGTCTAGAATCCACTGCTCCTGCCAGCTGACAACACTTGTGCTACCACCAGTCCGCAGCCCTCACTGTCAGAGCTGTTTTCATCATCGACTGTGATGGTAACCTTGAATGCTCCCATTGTGGTTTTCTTCTTGTTTAGCTGGTTTGGTTTGAACCCTGACCTTTCTGTCTGATTGACACTTGACTTTTGCATACTCCTCACAGTCTCTCTTGATGTGTCCCACTTTAAGACAGAAGTAGCAGGTTCGGCTTCATCTTGGATCGGACAGCCAGTGCCCCTTCCTGAGTCACCTACATCGAGCGACTCTTAGCCTCTTCATGAATTAGGCGCTCCGTTACAACGGCTAGAGGAGGAACTTCGGCATAATTATGCTTCCAGGGCTGTTACAAGAACGTTGTAGCTCTCAGGTAGACTGGCCAGAAGATAAACAACACGATCCTCCTCGTTTACAGGGTCACCAATTACAGATAGATCATCGCAAACTTCGGTCATGGACTCGATATGATCTTGCATCGAACCCCCTTTCGCCAAACCTCATAGAAAAGAGTTTCCGTTTGAGTTCAAGTTTATTAGCCCATGTCTTACGTTGAAACTGGTCAGCTAAAACTTTCCAGACTTTAACTGGATCTGTTGGGTCAGCACCAATTACATAGAGCAGACTTGGTTCAATGGCCATCACAATGGTCGCAAGGGCTTTGTCTCTCCTTGCTGGAAATCTTGCCTGTTGCTCAGCGTTCTCTGTAGGAGCTCTTTCTTTTCCATTAACAATGCCCCAGAGTCCCTCTTTGATCAATGCCATCTTGCATTGTATCTTTCACCCAGCCACCATTGCCACGATTTTAGACTCGGCCATTCTTGAACTCTCCAGCAGCAATTTGTGAGCATAACTGACTGTTAGGTCCTTAGTCTGGGCCCATAACCTGATGGTTTTCAAGAATATTATTTGCCGAGTGAGTACAATCACAGAGACACTGACTTATATGCATTTGAGGTGATTCGTTCTATAACGTTCTAGAGACACAGAGATACAAGTGTAATGTTTGTGGTGTACAAAGGCACAATAGAACCAAGAACCAAATAAAAGAGGAGAGTGGCCGTTCAAGCGCATATGCTAATTAGTCTCATTAATTAACTATTGTGTGAGTGATAGGCTACCCCTCATTTCTAGAGCGAATTAGCGCCTTAGCAAGTGGTCTACACCTTCAATGACACATAACCAGCCAGCTGTCCTGAGAGTGTACAAGAAGAAACGGCAGGAAAGTGTGCTTACGTGACACAGTAGACACCAACTGTGAATGCCTTCTGGAAAGCCGGAGTCGTAGTCTGGACTGGGACGGTGACTTCATACGTAATGACTGTGACAACTGTCCAAAACTAAAAAATCCTGACCAGAAGGATGCAGATGGTAATGGTGTAGGTGATAGTTGTGAATATAGGGGCCCAACCAGTGGACCAAGAACAAGAACTGGAAGAGACCAACACGAAAGACCTTATTGCTCTCATCATGGAAAAACTGCGGGAGACAGCTACTACAGTGCTTAATTTCACTGTCTAGCACTCATAGAAGTCTATTATCGTGTCTTTTCACACCATTAAAAACCATCTTATACAGCAGTTTATTCAGTTTTATGTTAGCATCTGAACCAATAAAATGTAGATGTATTAAATTTTTTTTCTTCAGTGCATTTATTTCTCATGCCGGATCCATACAAATTGCATGAAAGTCACACATAACCTATGCGAGGGTTACGGTAGTTGGTTTGTCTGTCGGTGTGTGTGTGTGTCGACGCTTATTCTGGCACTACAGGCTACGAGGCGGTCCATTAGTGATACCAGCGGCTTCAGAACTACGCGAACCAGAAAACTAAAAAGGCGATTTTCTTGAAACGACTGCGTTCAAGAGCGACAAACTGGCACAGTCGCGGGCCGCGTTGCGTGGCCCAATCCATCAATTTTTATATATATTTTTATATATAGTTTGTTTTTATGCGGAGAAATACTACAAAATAAAAACAAACCAAACGAAACAACAAACAGATTAAATGATGCTGTCAATAGAAGGGAGGCCAATGGGGAATCGATGGAGCCAAAGAGCGGCATTCCCACGCCAGAGAGAAACAGAGCAGCGCTGGAAGAGGTGACGAATTGAGTCCGCGGGAGAGACCCCTAAACGCTGGCCTAGGAGGCGACCAATTCTGGACAACGAGGTGGTTGTGGCCTCACTCATGCCGCCCAGGGCCTCAAAAGCAAGGGGGATGAAAGAGACCCCAACAGCGCGGCAAGCGGGGGCATGAGCTGACATCTTTCGATGCTCCGCAACAGCAAGGGCATGGCCAGCAGAGGAAGCAGCCCCTTGAAGGGTGAGGGGTTGAAGGGGGGAAATGACGGTCACATCCATAGCAGCTGGTTGACCCCGTTCCCAATTCGGAAGAAGGATGTCAGCAGGGCGGCTCTGTGATCCAGGGATGAGAGAAGGGACCTCCTTTCGCGGAGCCAAAGCAGCGGAGCGGGCGGCATGAAAAATGGAATCACATACAGAGTTGTGCCTATCACCGTTCCCCCCGCAACCGACCTGGTGGTCACCAAAGGGGTCAGCAGCTGAGTGGCAAACGCCGCATTTCACCCCCTCCTCAAAAATCGGGACCCCCAACCAATATTGTAGGCAAACCCGGAACTCACGATCCATGAAGTGAAGGCCGAGGGAAGGCGAAGGAACAGCGTTCAGCCAATCACCAGCATGGGGGAGAGAACACGATTGGGCAAGGGCCAGACAACGGGTGTCAGGGGCGGAGGAGAGAAGAAGGTCGAAAGACCCATCACAATAAGCGGTACGCATGCGTATATTAGGCGCGATCAACGCGGCTCACCTCGACCTGATCCGCTTGCTCTGTGTATATACCTTGAAGGCACAAGAAGCCACAGCGAAGGGCGTGTATCGACTCCCGCGTGCTATCTACTACCGTGGGTAGCCCGTGTCAGACTCTCCGCAGCAGGAGACTGCGGGTAAACGCCAATAGCCCAGCCCTAGCGGTACCGCGCATGCGTGGTTCGCCGAGGGTTTGCACTTTAGTGCTTTCATTAACCCTCGGCGCGCATGTGCAGCGAGGGTTACGGTAGTCGTTCTGTCTGTCTGTCCGCGCGAGTTCTCGGAGGCGGCCAATGAGTGGCACCAACGGGTTGTGAACAACGTGAAGATGGATATTAACGTGGTGATTTTCCTGAAACGACTGCGTTCCAGAGATATGGTTTGAAAACAAGCGAAAAAGCCAACGTGCGATCGATCGCGCACGCGCCCTCTCCGGCAGGCTATATTATAGCGCGCACGCAATTATTCGCCGGAGCATGCGTTACGCCACGTTGGTTGTATTATACGATCCACGGGCTTCTGTCAGTTTTGATCTCTGTTCTCTTTGTTTTTTCAGTGGATAAACATACTGAGCAAGGTATGTTCGCAATGTAGGATAATAGTTCAGTTGGCGAGCAGTTTGTGGCTGCGGCCTTGTCTTCCCATTTATAAAACGTCAGGCGAGAGCATGAAACACAGAAGAGCGAATAAAGCAAATATGAGAGCCTCTGAAACACATGAGCTATTGCTCTAACCGCTAATGTAACCAGCTACCCTATGTTACGGCGAGACTCGTGTTACTGGCTCAGTCAATGACGCACGGCCCAGCATACGGCGATGCTACAACTCGCGCGTTTAGCGCCGAGGGTCTGCACTTTAGTGTTTTTATTCTGCGCCACAAAGATAATAGCGATGGCATCATGCAGTTGTATGCGCCTATCCTGTGCGCCCATCCCTTGTTTCATTCCTTTTTGATGCTTCACACCATCTTTATCCCTTGCACTTGTTTTTGCTTTGCAAGACATTACTGTTTTTTACAACTAATGTGTTGATTTCCTCCATCCTCCATTGGTTCCCCTGACCCCGCCAGACCCTCTGGTGTCCTTAAACTCCATCGACCCCCAGAATCCCTTGACTCCCCTGACTCCTCAGACTCCCCTGACTCCAAAGAAACATGATGCCGGAGACTCCCACTACTCCCCTGACTCCCTAGACACCAATGATTCCCTAGATTTATCCTGACTCCCTGACTCCCAATAAAGACTCCCCTGACTCCCTGACTCCCAATGAAGACTCTCCTGACTCCCTGACTCCCAATGAAGACTCTCCTCCCAATGAAGACTCTCCTGACTCCCTAGACTCCCAATTAAGACTCCCCTGACTCCCTAGACTCCCAATAAAGACTCCCCTGACTCCCTATACTCCCAAAAAGACTCCCAATGAAGACTCTCCTGACTCCCTGACTCCCAATGAAGACTCTCCTGACTCCCTGACTCCCAATGAAGACTCTCCTGACTCCCTATACTCCCAATAAAGACTCCCCTGACTCCCTATACTCCCAATAAAGACTCCCAATGAAGACTCTCCTGACTCCCTGACTCCCAATGAAGACTCTCCTGACTCCCTAGACTCCCAATAAAGACTCCCCTGACTTCCTCTACTCCCAATAAAGACTCCCCTGACTTCCTCTACTCCCAATAAAGACTCCCCTGACTCCCTGACTCACAATAAAGACTCCCCTGACTCCCTGACTCCAATAAAAGACTCCCCTGACTCCCAATGAAGACTCCCCTGACTCCACTACTCCCCTGGCTCCCACTACTCCCCTGACTCACAATAAAGACTCCCCTGGCTCCCACTACTCCCCAGACTCCTATGAGTCCCCTCCCATGACTTTCATAACCCCCTAGACCAGTTCCGCAACTTGTGTCGCAACTAAACATACTATTATAGTAGTTTATTACAGTTACTCGCCAGCCTTGCTACCAAATCGTTCCATAATAATATTCGACCACCGCTGAGAAACTGAGTTCACTTGTGGCACGAGCAAAATGATTGTGATGTTGAATAACAGATTATTACACAAACTTTCATAGACCAAGTACTGTCGCCCTTGCTGTGCATGACGTGGCTAATACAAAACTGTCACTGTAAACTCTACGTAAACTCTAACTAGCTGGCTATAAGTCTTGACACTTCAACAACCAAGTTCTTATTTATTGTAGTACATTTCCACCAACTTCTCCATTATTGCAGCAGCAATCTCTTTCAAATTGGGGCCATCTAAATCTTGCTCTCTAGCATCCATAAAGTCACAGCTGTCACCTACGGTATTATTGTCTCTATCTTCTTGACCAGGATTTATAACCTTTACGCAGTTGTCACATTCATTGCGTATGTAGTCACCATCATAGTCCAGACTACGACTCCGGCTTTCCAGAAGACATTCACAGTTGGTGTCTACTGCGTCACGTAAGCACGCTTCTATGTTCTTCTTTCCGACCTTTTTTGTACACTCATGATAACCCTTAGGGCAGGCTGAGTAAAAAGAGCATGGTAGTATAAGGGATATATAATTGAATGTCATGTATGAGCGTAGGTATATATATGTACACTTTAACAAGTACTACAGAGTGCACAGGTTAAACGCTCAAGCAAACCTCTATACTTAACCTACAGTTTAAGTAGTTAATATTATGTGAAATAAGGAATCACAGAGTCACAGATTATCTGGGAACTTCTATTCTCTTTCTGCTTCGCCTTACTGCACAACTAAAACCCCAGAATTTTATACTAGTTGATTGTGTAATAAATAGCTAGAGTGGATTCAGAAAAACAAAACAACAACACCCCAAACCCCAACCCCCAACACCACAACCACCCCACCCCCACCCAACCCCCCCACACAAAACACCAACCCAAACCCCACACAAAACCCACAAAAAAAACACAAACCCCCACAACCAAACCCAACCCACCACCCCACCCCAACACCAAAAATGGCACCTATAATGCAGATTGTGTGAAATACAGGACTAGAATTGTTGATCAAAAGCGCAAGTGCTGTATCATGCATACACTGTAGCAAAACAATAATACTTAGTCATGTTGACACTTTCTTACGGGCCATTCTGGAGATGTATCAGTGCACTCCACTTCACCGTGCAATCAATTCACGCGGCAGATTCCTCGCTCCATTTTCATGCAGCATGTCTAGTGACGAATGGACGTGCAGTCTGTGCTCTTGCACAGAGCCCGCAAGATGGTGATGCGAGGAGCTGACAATCGCTGGATTCCCACTCACAGTCACTCGCAAAAACCACTGTAAAACAAATTTGTGAACTCTGTACAGGTGAGCTAGATAGATAACTTTAGTAGAGGCACCGGATGTCGAAGGACATTAGTTTGTCGCTATGTTGTATTAACTTGTGCATCATCATTTAATCAGATGGCGATGTATGAATTGCATAAATATCGAATATAGACTTCAGATTGTACCACTCTGCAGGTTTAGGATGGGTGTGCACTTCCAGTAGTCGTAAAAACTATGCGTTCTAAAGTTATGGCGTGAAAACCAAGCATGACAAGCCAATATGGTAATTAGCACAGGCTTACCTCGACTGCGCCCGCGCGCTCTGTGTATTGAGGCACAATAAGTCACAACGAAGGGCATGTATCGACTCCCGCATGCAATCTACTACTGTAGCTAGCCGTGCCAGACTGTCCGCGAGCTACTAGCGCAATCAACGAGTAAAGAAAAGAAAAGCCCAGCCCATCATTAGTGGTACCGCGCATGCGCAGTTCGCCGAGGTTTGCACTTTAGTGCTTTTCATTACATCAGCTATAATATACCAGGTTGGCAAGGTCGAGGTCGGTGCACTCTAACAGTTTTGACTGTCCATTGCGAAACAAAACCAGGACAATCCCTTCCTCCATGCTGTGGTTCCTGTGTGATGATTGGGTGCACACTGTCGTGTCCCACTGCCACAGGATGCCGAGCACTCTTCACACCTTCCATACTCCCATTCACAGTCAACTACAGAGTGAACAAGATAATGCATTGGACATCATTAGCACCTTGGTTTAACTGCTCTAGCACTACATACTAGCTAGCTAAATGGAGCATATAATATTATATCATAGCTAGCTACCAGAGTGGGCAAGGTCCAAGATCTGTGCACTCCAGTAGTCGTGACTCTCCATTGGCCGAACAAAATCAGGGCATTCTCTTCCTCCGTGCTGTGGTTGTTGCGTAATGATTGGTTGACAGAAGTGATTCCCTTTACCACAGGTGACCGAGCAACTGTCACATTCTCCATACTCCCATTCGCAGTCAACTGCAGAGTGGACAAAGGATATGGTGTCTGATGCTTTCACAGAGCGTAACACCCTTTAATTAAAATAAGTCAGCGTATCTAGGATTTGAAGGGGGGTTCTACTATCCACAACTGTTTTTTTTACTGCTCTCGTGTCGTGCGCGCAGAGGCAGGCGACGCATTGCGTCAAAATGATAAAAAAATAGGGGTTCCATGTAACTCAAAGAACCCCCTTATTTGCCACTGAAAGTGAATGGAGACAAAAAAGCCCCATTATTATTACATTATAATATACCAGTTGGCAAGTTCGAGGTCGGTGCACTCTAAACAGTTTTGACTGTCCGTTTGCGAACAAACCAGGACAATCCCTTCCTCGTACTGTGGTTCCTGTGTGATGATTGGTGTACACTGTCGTGTCCCACTGCCACAGGATGCCGACACTTGCCACACCTTCCATACTCCCATTTACAGTCAACTGCAGAGTGAACAAGATAATGCATTGGACATCATTAGGCACCTTGGTTTAACACTCTAGCACTACATACTAGCTAGCTAAATGGAGCATATGTAAGGTGTGATAACAGGAGCTACATGACTCCGACCACGTTGTGTCGCGCACCCCTGAAAATCCCTCGCCTGCCCCTGACTTACATACCCACGTGTCATCCTGTTCCCCTGTATATCTCGCCCCTTACACTTACACACTATAAAAGAACCTTGCTAAATTCATATGTGTGCTCGATCTCTATCGGTATTACTATACCCGAGAAAACTGTTGAACGCGCTGAAGCCACGCTACAATTGGCAGTAGTCGGCAGGATGGCCCGCGAAGCGGTGGTTCTGCCAGAACCCTTTAGCGGAGAGACGTCGTGGGACGATTGGAGACTCCACTTCGAGGATGTGGCCGAGGTTAACTCCTGGTCCGCCGACGATAAATTGAAATGGCTACGGGTACGCCTGACGGGTCGAGCACAGCGGGCGTTTCACCGGTTGCCCGCCGAGTCACAAGCGACGTACGCCGCCGCTACCACAGCGATGCAAGCAGAGATTCGAGCCCAAAAGCCGAATGACTCGGTATCAAGCCGAGTTTGATGCTCGTCGGAAGAAACCGACGGAGAACTGGGCCGACCATCGCCGACGATCTGCGCTCCCTCGCGGACAAGGCATACCCGGACCTACAGTCGAAGCGAGGGAATGCCTGGCTCTGCAGAGATATCTGCAGCAACTGGAGCAGCCTCAAGTCGCCTTTGGCGTGAAACAGACCAGGCCTAAACCGTTGACGATGCCGTCGCGGCAACTCTGGAGATGGAATCCTACGCCGCCACGCGACACAACGTGGTCGGAGTCATGTAGCTCCTGTTATCCACTGTTACACATATAATATTATTATCATAGCTAGCTACCAGGTGGGCAAGGTCAAAGATCCGTGCAATCCAGTAGTCGTGACTCTCCATTATGCGAACAAAATCAGCATTCTCTTCCTCCGTGGTGGTTTCTGTGTGATGACTGGTGGACAGAGTTTTGTTCCCACTTCACAGGTTGCCGAACACTCTCACACCTTCCATACTCCCATTCACAGTCACGTATGTATAATACTTATTATAGACATGCAGAGTATTTAAGGCAAGCATAAGCTATCTTGTTACTATATAGATGTGTGTGCTGTACCTTACAGAGAGTGGGATCTACTGAGTGAGCCAAATTGGGGAATGTGGCATATAGTAATAGCAAAATATTATACTCAAAACAGAACTTCATTCTTTCACTGCTGTGTCCATGTTTTGTTCCAGTCGTATGACATTTAGCCCTTATACTACACTGCATATTCCTTTAACAGTGTGACTGTGTAGCTAACAGTATTATAGTACTGGTCAGCCGGTTTCTTGCTGGTGATGGCAGAAAACGTGCATGGTAACAGACAGACAGACAGACAGACAGACAGACACCTTACGACGAGTACCTGTAAACTAGACCCATAGAGTACTTCAGAATTATCCAAAAGATATAGGATCTACATAATAGACAAACATAGCAGTATAGTTACCAGGGCAGGATGGTTACATGTTCCAAACTCCAGCAGTGGGACTCCTGAACAATCCCCCACGTTTGGAACATTCTCGGGTACGATGCAGGTCCTGCTTCTTGCTCTCTGTCCTTGGCCACATGTTTCACTGCACTTTGTCCATTCGGACCACTCTGTAACTCTCGGCACATCATCTTCACCTCCTGTTCGCAGATTTGCTCACTCAATTACTCCAAGTCATTGCACTAACTTACTGCATTGGGGGCAGCATTTTCCTGGTAAAAACACTTTTTGTGTCTGACTTGCACAAGGTTGGTCATCAGCACAAGTGATCGGCAGCGTCACCACACTTCCACTAGCGGTCTGTAAAAGAATAGGTCATTGGTTTTGTTCCTGTATGCAATTAGCTATTCATCTTACGTCGCAAATGTATTCTTTGCACGGGTTAGTCTTGTCAAAATATTGGTATTCGAAGAAATGCGTCGTTCCGGCGATTTCCACGTAGCAGCCCTTGCCGCAGACACCTGCTGTCGTGGATGTTCCCTCCATCAGTTCAGCCCACATTTCTCTTAGAGACGGTGGCACTCCGAGGGTGTTGCCATGGGTCCCTGCAAAGGCAAACAGTAACAACATGTCTAGTCACAATGATCATGAGCTGCCAGTTGGCCAGTGGGTGGGATTAGAACCCCCAAGCTATACTCTGCAGACAGGCGAGCGCGATCTACCCGCTTTTAGTATAATACTTATGCCGATGCGCCGTTGCATGCTATTCACCTTGCACCACAAGGAGAACGATAACGATCAGACAAACTTTGTGCATTCCCGACATCCTGCTTGTAGCTAACGGGATGATCTTGCAATCCAGTTTATTTGTCTGCCCCCAGCAATGTAACACTTTTTATAGCATTGCTTTTCTAATGGTTGCTTCCGAAGCGTGCTCGTTTCCCGTGAACCTGGCTTCCCTATATACAGTCGTGCAGCGTGCGTGGGAGCTTGGTGGCGGTATCCCGGGAACACGGCGCGCAGCTAGCGTTCGAGCTACCCTTTGAACGTGCTACGGCTGTGCAGACCGCCATCCTACGCGAAGTATGGAGTTGTATAGCAATAATATTATACGGGGAAGATAGTACGGAAATTGACTCTAATAAACCTCTTGGTATAGCTATTATAGAAGCACCGCAAGTGTAATTATCTGTGGAATGAATTCACAGTACATGTAATGCGGTTCACGGAATGCCTGACAGTGGGGAATTCACAGATATCCAGGTGTGTATAGTGCTGCACCAATGGACGTAAGCCATGCATGCCCATTTGCATAATTATATTGGCTTTTCACTTGTGTTAACACTATATAATATTACTCAAAATCGCCATTTTAATATCCATGTCCTCGTTGCTCCGAAGCCGTTGGTCAGTGCCACTCATTGGTGGTTGCCTCGTAGAAGTAGTGCCAGAATAGTAGACACACCAAACCCTAAGATGTAACCCTCGCTGCATATGCGGGGCGAGGGTATAAATGGCAATTAGCTAATGCCGAGTTACTGGTTTTTGTACGCTTGGTAGAGACATATCCAATTACAACATCTCTTATGTACAATGTCAATGTCATACAATAGTGTGAATAAAAACAGAGAGGGAGATCAGAAATCGAGGCAGAGTCAGTATTAGGATATGTCTACTCTGTTAGAGCCCTGTATGTACTTCCTGGTCATTATTTGTTGAGAGCTTCTAAAGCCTCCAATCTAAATAGTGTGTGTGTATGTTTGAGCCGGGGAAGAATGAGAAAGAAGAGTGCTAGGGATTGAGATGGCTTTTGTCTGTGGTCACATGCACTAGCACATGTGAGATCAAGAGTCTATTTCTGCTGTAAGTGTGTAAAGTCTGCATGTAGCAAGTCATCAGGGGAGCTCCTCACTGGATCATAGCAGAGGTAACAGGTTTGGGTCCCTTTAATCTCCCGACCTGTGCCCCGCTCCATTAGTAGGTTTAGTTTGTATCTGTCTTGTATGTTCAGTCCATGTATAACTATACCATTACTCTACTGCTGCAAAGTTCATGGTCAGATTACACAGGATGTACTAAGTATACCTGCGGTATCCAGCTATCCACTCTAGCCCGCGCAGGTATATACTAGTAGTTGAGTTCACAGAGGCCATTAAAAGGTAATGCGTTAAAAGCCAGTGTTGTTGGCAACTAGCCTCGGAACACCCAGGCGTTCCCTGTTCAACGCGGTGTATAGTACGCGTGAGCATGCGCGGAATAATTGTGCGTGGGCGATGCCACCTGGCGGCTGCCACCATGCATGCCGCGGAAATCACGAGCATGCGCACAATACTTCCAAGCCACGTGTCTTCTCTGTGGTTGCCAGGGCCGAGCTCGTTCAGAATGAGATCTTGTGGTCTTCCTGATTGGAGGATCTTTCGCAGAAACTCAGTTCTGCTGTCTAGCTGTGCAGGAGTAAATTAATAAGATCATAATTATGTGGTCTTCCTGCTGCAGAGTATCTTCCACAGAAACCGTGGGTCTCGTTGACGTGGTCGTAGCTATTGCTGGTGGCCTCGGGCGGCTCTGACAGAGTCTGTGTCTCCGTGGAGAGGTCATTGCACTGGTCAGCAAGGGCCGTTGGAGGGCAGTGGATGTCCAGGGAGTGAGAGGCTGCGTCGGAAGAGATGTCTCCCTTTATTCCTTGTCTAGACACAGAGAGAAATACGAGAGAGATAGAGATATGAGAGAGAGTATTAAACTAAAAACAAGGGTTGAATGAATTTGACAAAAGAAAAGACGAATGCTATCTTACATGATGTAACAACCAGATTATTAAAGATGAGAAACTGATAAAAGAAAGAAAAATTTAGAGCTTAATAAAAGAAAGAGTTTCTATCCATGCACTTAGGCAAGGTTCACAATTATGTCGCATTGCCCCGTCACGCAGTGCTGCTTAGCCACGTCGCGAGGATAGAATCTATTTCTATATTCGCGGGGCAATGCGACATGTGAACCTTGCCTAAGTGCATGGATAGAAACTCTTTCTTTTAAGCTCAAACTCGTATAAACTTCTCTTTCTTTTCTCAGTTTCTCATCTTTTAATAATCTGGGTGTTACATAATGTAAGATACCATTCGTCTTTCTTTTGTCAAATCATCTCTCTTCATTCAGCCTTTGTTTTAGTTTAATACTCTCTCTCATATCTCTCTCTCTCTCTCTTTCTCTGTGTCCAGACAAGGAATCCAAAGGGAGACCTCCCTTCCGACGCAGCCTCTCACAGACCAGACATCCACTGCCCTCCAACGGACTAGGAGTCCTTGCTGACCAGTGCAATGACCTCTCCACAGAGACACAGACTCCGCCAGAGCCGCCCGCGGCCACCAGCAATAGCTACGACCACGTCAACGACACCCACGGTTTCTGTGCAGCAGGAAGACCACATATGATCTTACTCCTGCACAGCTAACTGAGTTTCTGCGAAAGATACTCCAATCAGGAAGACCACAAGATCTCATTCTGAGCCCTGGCAACCACGAGAAGACACGTGGCTTGGGAGTATTGTGCGCATGCTCGTGATTTCCGGGGGTTGCATCGCCCACGCACAATTATTCCGCGCATGCTCACGCGTACTATACACCGCGTTGAACGGGGAACGCCTGAGTGTTCCGAGGCTAGTTGCCAACAACACTGGCTTTTAACTCAACTACGTGTAGTATATACATACCTGCGCGGGCTAGAGTGGATAGCTGGATACCGCAGGTGTACTTAGTATAATTATACATCCTGTGTAATCTGACCGTGAACTTTGCAGCAGTAGAGAAATGAGTATATACATGGACTGATCATACAAGACAAATACAAACTAAACCTACTAATGGAGCGGGGCACAGGTCGGGAGATTAAAGGGACCCAAACCTGCTACCTCTGCTATGATCCAGTGAGGAGCTCCCCTGATGGCTGGTTACATGCAGACTTTACACTCACAGCAGAAATAGACTCTTGATCTCACATGTGCTAATGCATGTGACCACAGACAAAAGCCATCTCAATCCCTAGCACTCTTCTTTCTCTTTCTTCCCCCACTCAAACATACACACACACACACTATTTAGATTGGAGGCTTTGGAAGCTCTCAACCAATATGATCAGGAAGTACAGGGCTCTAACAGAGTAGACATATCCTAATACTGACTCTGCCTCGATTTCTGATCTCCCTCTCTGTTTTTATTCACACTATTGTATGACATGACATTGTACATAAGAGATGTTGTACTTGGATATGTCTCTACCCAGCGTACAAAACCAGTAACTCGCATTAGCTAATTGCCATTTATACCCTCGCCCGCATCTGCAGCGAGGGTTACACTCTTCGGGTTTGGTGTGTCTACTATTCTGGCACTACTTCTACGAGCAACCACCATGAGTGGCACTGACCAACGGCTTCGGAGCAACGAGGACATGGATATTAAAATGGTGATTTTGAGTAATATTATATAGTGTTAACACAAGTGAAAGCCAATATAATTATGCAAATGGGCATGCATGGCTTACGTCCATTGGTGCAGCACTATACACACACCGGATATCTGTGAATTTCCCCACTTCAGGCATTCCGTGAACCGCATTACATGTACTGTGATTCATTCCACAGATAATTACACTTGCGGTGCTTCTATAATAGCTATACCAAGAGGTTTATTAGAGTCAATTTCCGTACTATCTTCCCCGTATAATATTATTGCTATACAACTCCATACTTCGCGTAGGATGGCGGTCTGCACAGCGGTAGCACGTTCAAAGGGTAGCTCGAACGCTAGCTGCGCGCCGTGTTCCCGGGATACCGCCACCAAGCTCCCACGCACGCTGCACGACTGTATATAGGGAAGCAGGTTCACGGGAAACGAGCACGCTTCGGAAGCAACCATTAGAAAAGCATGCTATAAAAGTGTTACATTGCTGTGGTCAGACAAATAAACTGATTGCAAGATCGCCGTTAGCTACAAGCAGGATGTCGGGAATGCACAAGTTTGTCTGATCGTTATCGTTCTCCTTGTGGTGCAAGGTGAATAGCATGCAACGGCGCATCGGCATAAGTATTATACTAAAAGCGGGTAGATCGCGCTCGCCTGTCTGCAGAGTATAGCTGGGGGTTCTATCCCACCCACTGCCAACTGGCAGCTCAGTCATGATCATGTGACTAGACCATGTTTTTACTGTTTGCCTTTGCAGGGACCCATGGCAACACCCTCGATGCCACCGTCTCTAGAGAAATGTGGGCTGAACTGATGAGGGAACATCCACGACAGCAGGTGTCTGCGGCAAGGGCTGCTACTTGGAATCGCCGGAACGACGCATTTCTTCGAATACAACATTTTGACAAGACTAACCCGTGCAAGAATACATTTGCGACGTAATAATAGCTATTGCATACAGGACAAAACCAATGACCTATTCTTTTACAGACCGCTAGTGAAGTGTGGTGACGCTGCCGATCACTTGTGCTGATGACCAACCTTGTGCAAGTCAGACACAAAAAGTGTTTTTACCAGGAAAATGCTGCCCCCAATGCAGTAAGTTAGTGCAATGACTTGGAGTAATTGAGTGAGCAAATCTGCGAACAGGAGGTGAAGATGATGTGCCGAGAGTTACAGAGTGGTCGAATGGACAAAGTGCAGTGACACATGTGGCCAAGGACAGAGAGCAAGAAGCAGGACCTGCATCGTACCCGAGAATGTTCCAAACGTGGGGGATTGTTCAGGAGTCCCACTGCTGGAGTTTGGAACATGTAACCTCACTCCCTGCCCTGGTATAACCTATACTGATAAGTTACAGTACTTCGTTCGTAAGTGTGTCTGTCTGTCTGTCTGTCTGTCTGTCTGTTACCATGCACGTTTTCTGCCATCACCAGCAAGAAACCGGCTGACCAGTACCTATAATACTGTTAGCTACACAGTCAGCACTGTTAAAGGAATATGGCAGTGTAATTATAAGGGCTAAAATGTTACTACGATGGAACAAAACAATAGGGACACAGTGAAAGAATGAAGTTCTGTTTTGAGTATAATATTTTGCTATATACTATATGCCACATTCCCCAATTTGGCTCACTCAGTAGATCCCCACTCTCTGTAAGAGTACAGCACACACATCTATATAGTAACAAGATAGCTATGCTGCTAGAAAATACTCTGCATGTCTATAATAAGTATTATACATACAGTTGACTGTGAATGGGAGTATGGAAGGTGTGAGAGGTGTTCGGCAACCTGTGGAAGTGGGACAAAACTCTGTCCACCAGTCATCACACAGAAACCAGACCACGGAGGAAGAGAATGCCCTGATTTTGTTCGCAATGGAGAGTCACGACTACTGGAGTGCACGGATCTTTGACCTTGCCCACCTGGTAGCTAGCTATGATAATAATATTATATGTGTAACAGGTGGATAACAGGAGCTACATGACTCCGACCACGTTGTGTCGCGTGGCGGCGTAGGATTCCATCTCCAGAGTTGCCGCGACGGCATCGTCAACGGTTTTAGGCCTGGTCTGTTTCACGCCAAAGGCGACTTGAGGCTGCTCCAGTTGCTGCAGATATCTCTGCAGGGCCAGGCATTCCCTCGCTTCGACTTGTAGGTCCGGGTATGCCTTGTCCGCGAGGGAGCGCAGATCGTCGGCGATGTCGGCCCAGTTCTCCGTCGGTTTCTTCCGACGAGCATCAAACTCGGCTTGATACCGAGTCATTCGGCTTTTGGGCTCGAATCTCTGCTGCATCGCTGTGGTAGCGGCGGCGTACGTCGCTTGTGACTCGGCGGGCAACCGGTGAAACGCCCGCTGTGCTCGACCCGTCAGGCGTACCCGTAGCCATTTCAATTTATCGTCGGCGGACCAGGAGTTAACCTCGGCCACATCCTCGAAGTGGAGTCTCCAATCGTCCCACGACGTCTCTCCGCTAAAGGGTTCTGGCAGAACCACCGGCTTCGCGGCCATCCTGCCGACTACGCCAATTGTAGCGTGGCTTCAGCGCGTTCAACAGTTTTCTCGGGTATAGTAATACCGATAGAGATCGAGCACACATGAATTTAGCAAGGTGCTTTTATAGTGTGTAAGTGTAAGGGGCGAGATATACAGGGGAACAGGATGACACGTGGGTATGTAAGTCAGGGGCAGGCGAGGGATTTTCAGGGGTGCGCGACACAACGTGGTCGGAGTCATGTAGCTCCTGTTATCCACCTGTTACATATGCTCCATTTAGCTAGCTAGTATGTAGTGCTAGAGTAGTTAAACCAAGGTGCCTAATGATGTCCAATGCATTATCTTGTTCACTCTGCAGTTGACTGTAAATGGGAGTATGGAAGGTGTGGCAAGTGCTCGGCATCCTGTGGCAGTGGGACACGACAGTGTACACCAATCATCACACAGGAACCACAGTACGGAGGAAGGGATTGTCCTGGTTTTGTTCGCAACGGACAGTCAAAACTGTTAGAGTGCACCGACCTCGAACCTTGCCAACCTGGTATATTATAATGTAATAATAATGGGGCTTTTTTTGTCTCCATTCACTTTCAGTGGCAAATAAAGGGGGTTCTTTGGGTTACATGGAACCCCTATTTTTTTATCATTTTGATCGCATGCGTCGCCTGCCTCATGCGCGCGAACACGAGAGCAGTAAAAAAAACATTGTGGATAGTAGAACCCCCCTTCAAAATCCTAGATACGCTGACTTTATTTTAATTAAATGGGTGTTACGGCTCTATGAAAGCATCAGACACCATATCCTTTGTCCACTCTGCAGTTGACTGCGAATGGGAGTATGGAGAATGTGACAGTTGCTCGGTCACCTGTGGTAAAGGGAATCACTTCTGTCAACCAATCATTACGCAACAACCACAGCACGGAGGAAGAGAATGCCCTGATTTTGTTCGCAATGGAGAGTCACGACTACTGGAGTGCACAGATCTTGGACCTTGCCCACCTGGTAGCTAGCTATGATAATAATATTATATGCTCCATTTAGCTAGCTAGTATGTAGTGCTAGAGCAGTTAAACCAAGGTGCCTAATGATGTCCAATGCATTATCTTGTTCACTCTGTAGTTGACTGTGAATGGGAGTATGGAAGGTGTGAAGAGTGCTCGGCATCCTGTGGCAGTGGGACACGACAGTGTGCACCAATCATCACACAGGAACCACAGCATGGAGGAAGGGATTGTCCTGGTTTTGTTCGCAATGGACAGTCAAACCTGTTAGAGTGCACCGACCTCGAACCTTGCCAACCTGGTATATTATAGCTGATGTAATGAAAAGCACTAAAGTGCAAACCCTCGGCGAACTGCGCATGCGCGGTACCACTAATTGATGGGCTGGGCTTTTCTTTTCTTTACTCGTTGTATTGCGCTAGTAGCTCGCGGACAGTCTGGCACGGGCTAGCTACAGTAGTAGATTGCATGCGGGAGTCGATACATGCCCTTCGTTGTGACTTATTGTGCCTTCAATATACACAGAGCGCGCGGGCGCAGTCGAGGTAAGCCTGTGCTAATTACCATATTGGCTTGTTCACTTGGTTTTCACGCCATAACTTTAGAACGCAGTAGTTTTACGACTACTGGAGTGCACCCATCCTAAACCTTGCCCTGGTAAAATCTGAAGTCTATTTCGATATTTATGCCAATTCATGCCACTTTAATGATGAGGGCAAATTAATACATAGCAAAAACTAATGTCCTTCCGTGCCTCTAACTAAATTTCTAGGTCACCTGTACAGAGTTCACAAATTTTGTTTTACATGTTTTTGCAGTTGACTGTGAGTGGGAATACAGAGATTGCAGCTCCTGCTCACCATCTTGTGGCTCTGCAACCAAGACCTGCACTCCATTCGTCACTAGAGCTGCAGAAAATGGAGGAGAGGAATGCCCTGTGATTGAACCGGTGGAAGTGGAGTGCACTGATCTTCCAGAATGCCGTAAGAAAGTCACATTACTAAGTATTAATTGTTTTGCTACAGAGTAAGGCATGATAAGCACTTGCGGCTTTTGATCAACAATTCTAGTCCTGTATTTCTACACAAGCTGCATTATAGGTGTGCCACGTCATCCATCTCTAGGTCTATTTATTTGCTACACAATCACGAGTATCTAAAATCTGGGTTTCCATAGTGTGTGTCAGTAAGGCGAAGCAGAAAGAGAATAGAATCCCGATATCTGCGACTCTGTGATTCCTTACTTTCACATAATATTAAAACACTTAAACTGTGTTTAAGTATAAGTTTGGCTTGAGCGTTTAACCTGTGCACTCTGTTAGTACTTGTTAAAGTGTCATATATTTATATTTTATTTTTTTTTTTTTTAATATTTGTTGATTATTTTTATGTTTTATAACGTTTTTTTTTTTTTTTTCAATTATATTACTTATTTTATCTTTTTTTATCCCAGTTTTTTGTTTGCCTATCTTTTAATGTGTTGTTTTTTAATCTGTTTTTTTTCTTTTATTTTATCCCTTTCGATATATTTTTTTTGTATTTTGTTTTTTTCTTGTTTTGTCTCATTTTTTTTATATCTTTTTTTTTTGTTTTTATTTTATTTTTTTTTTTTATTAACAACCCACCCAATAATTTTTTTTTTTGTTTTCATTTACTTACAAATATTTTATATATTTTTTTTTTTTTTTTTTTGTTTTTTTTTTTTTTTTGTTTTTTGTTTTTTTTTCTCAATTTTTTTTTTTGTTTTTTTTGTATATCATTTTTTATACTGTTAATTTTTACTACCTACGCTCATACATGAACATTCATTATATATCCCTTATAAACTACCATGCTCTTTTTCCCAACACACTCAGCCTGCTACGGTTATCATGAGTGTACAAAAAATTCGGAAAGAGAACATAAAAAGCGTGCTTAACGTGAGCAGTAAGACACCCAAACTGTGAATGTCTTCGGGTAAAAGCCGGAGTCGTAGTCCTGGACTATGATGGGTGACTACATACGCAATGAATGTGGACAACTGCGTAAAAGGTTATAAATCCTGGTCCAAGAAGATTAGAGACAATAATACCGTAGGTGACGCTGGCTGTGGACTTTATGGATGCTAGAGAGCAAGATTTGATGGCCCCAATTTGAAAGAGATTGCTGCTGCCAATAATGGAAAGTTGTGGAAATGACTACAATAAAAAGACTTGGTTGTGAAGTGTCAAGACTTATAGCCATGCTAGTTAGAGTTTACGTAGAGTTTACAGTGACCGTTTTGTATTAGCACGTCATGCACAGCAAGGGCGACAGTACTTGGTCCTATGACCAGTTGGTGTAATACTCTGTTATTCAACATCACAATCATTTTGCGCGTGCCACAAGTGAACTCAGTTTCTCATCCCGCGGTGGTCGACTATTATTATGGACGATTTGGTAGCAAGGCTGGCGTAGTAACTGTAATAACTACTATACTCGTATGTTAGTGCGACACAAGTTGCGGAACTGTCTAGGGGTAGGAAAGTCATGGGAGGGGACTCATAGAGTCTGGGGAGTAGTGGGAGCCAGGGGAGTCTTTATTGTGGAGTCAGGGAGTAGGGGAGCCAGGGTGAGTAGTGTAGTCAGGGGAGTCTTCATTGGAGTCAGGGAGTCTTTATGGAGTCGGCGAGTCCAGCAGTCTCTTGTGAGTCAGGAGTCAGGGAGTCTTTATTGGGAGTAGAGAGGAGTCAGGGAGTCTTTATTATTGGGAGTAGAGAAGTCGGGAGTCTTTATTGGGCGTCTATGGGAGTCAGAGAGTCTGCAGTTGGAGTCCGGGAGTCAGGAGAGTCCTTCATTGGGAGTCTTTATTGGTAGTATAGGAGTCAGAGAGTCTTTATTGGGAGTATAGGGTCAGGCAGAGAGTCTTCATTGGGAGTCACGGAGTCAGGAGAGTCTTCATTGGAGTCAGGAGTCCGGAGAGTCTTCATTGGAAGTCCTTATTGGAGTATAGGGAGTCCAGGGAGTCCCTTTATATTGGGATTATGGGATTCAGGGAGTCTTAAATTGGGAGAGTCTAAGGAGTCAGGAAGTCTTCCATTGGG